TAAACCTTTATTAAAATTAATATAAAAATTAAACAATTTTGTGTTTAATGTAAATTCGATCATTTTATTGTTTATTCTACTTACGCTACTTATTTGCATGCAATATATATTTTTTAGTTTAATTTTAAGTATAACTTTTAGCCCGTTTTTTATTTAAGCTGCACATGTATAATATTTTACTCTTACAATGCATTATGCAGTAATATGCAAGACTCTTGCAGCAAGAGCAAGATAAAATGTTTTGTTTTGTGAACGTAAAAACAATATTATAACATATTTTATTAAATAGGTAAGTAAATAGGTACTCAAAAATATTCAAAATCTAATAAATTATAAAGGGGGCCGAACAAAAATAAAACAGGGGTTTTCAAAATACGTCAACTTCAGTTTCGAGGGGAACATCTTTTTAAATGGATTTCTCTTGCAAATCGCTTCACCCCTTTAAACAGGCTTGATAGTACAAGTGATACCTCAATTGAAAGGTCTACTGAGTATCATAAAATTGTAAAATTTTATTAATTTGTTTTTAAGATATTTAAAATTGAAGTTTTATTTCTTACAGTACAGATAAGAAATTTAAGCAAACATCGTGTAGAAAAACTGTATTTTAAGAACACAAAATAATTCATTTTCATTAAAAAATGGTTAAAAGTATTGCGGAAAGTTAATAATTTTTTTTAAATCGTTAGTGCAGAAATCGTGCTGCAGATTTATTTAATAAACACTTTTCGGATAGGCATGTGAATAGAAAATTTGTTTTGGAGTTGTAGTGAACCAAAACAGACCTTTGGACCTGAACGTAAACGTCCGGTCAGGAATAAAGCTGCCGAGATTGGAGTTTTAGGAAAAGTTGTTGCTGATCCAACTTTAAGGACGAGAAAATAAGCTACGGTTAAAAACATTTCTAAAATAACCATCCGAATTCTACTATCTCATAAATTGCGTCCTTTCAAGATATCTTTAGTCCGTTATTAAATGTGGGTGATTTTGACCGGCGCACGTAAGGCAAAATGAGGTATTTACGGCGACAGAATTTAAAAAACCAGAATACAATAATATTCATTTATTTACATAGCAAAATGTTCCCAAATATTTAAAACCTTGGAAACAACAAAAAAATTGTAAAAAGGATAAAGACAGGGTTGAAAAATGTCATATTGTTCGCGTGTTGTCAGGTAGTCGTGCGCGCAACCTGTATTTTACCAAATTTAGTGCTAATACATTGTGTAAATTTGCAGTCACCGCGAAGTAAATCTAAAACTTTTAAAATGGAGGTGTTACTATGTTGTAAGTACTTTAAATCAACGTATATATTAACGATAAAAATCTAATTTCTCTAAAATATCCAAACATAGTAAAATTTGCATTGTTTATTATTATTATTATTTATTATTAAACTTGATAAAATAAATAAATCAACGTATATATTAACGAAAAAAATCTAATTTCTCTAAAATATCCAATTATCTAAACATAGTAAAATTTGCATTGTTAATTATTATTATTATTTATTATTAAACTTGATAAAAGGTTATAAAAAAAGTTTTGCAAAGTTTCGCTTTGAGTACCAGCTTAATCAATGGCATTGAATATTGTTTTTAGGAGGAAATTATTTTTTTTCCACATACTTCCACATTTAAGTGTTTTCGTCTTTATTTTTAAGTTGTGGAGCTAAAAAGTGTATCACAAGGGAAGAACTATATTTAGTCATAGAAAAAGAAAGTTTTTACGAGTATTTGCTAGTGTTATAAACGATTATATGAATACATTTTGAGCAGTTTACAGACTTACACTTTGTATTTAATGTTTAAACCCATAAATAATTCGTAATAATAATACCTGTATTTTTTCAGTCCAATCATACAATGTATATCATTATTTCATTAACGTATTAAAAATATAATTAAAAAAAAAGATACATTTAGAAATACATACTCGAGGCATTAAATGTTCGGTTAAATAGAAAATTTTCGGAGGTATATCAACTGGTATACTTAATTTGGTAAACATCTGTATAAAACAGTGGCGCCCTCATTGTATGAACGGTGAACCGGATTGTGTATCTGTATGTGTATCCAAGTCGAATTTACCTCCTAGCTGCTTTCCAATTGGCTTCCGATTTTTCGAATGCTACTCCGATTTCGGAGGCGCGTTCTTCACAAAAGTATCTATTTTGGACGTGTATTAGCCGTTTTGCAAATATATATATATATTGTATATATATATATATATATATATACAGTGTGACTTATTTGTTTGAGACTCACCCCTGTAAAATCTTTATTTATTGTGCGATTTTAACCGGATTTGTTTTAAAGTGTAGATCATAATAAACTATATTTTGAAGCAAAAAAACTACATATTTATACATGGTACTATTACAATAAGTTTAATTTTATTTCAATGTTTTTTCATGGATAACTTGACAATAAATTTTTGTAGTTATTATTGTGCATTTTTCTACTTACAATTTTTCAATACAATTTAGTAAAGGGTCGTTTTAAGGGGTGGTGAATCCAGTGCCGTGCTTAGATTTTGTTTAAAAAAATTGCTAATATAAATTCTTAAAAATCTACTCTTAAAAACTGACATAGTAGGCCTTGTATTTTGTACTAATATGGCATCTTTTGCTCCAAAAATACAGTTTATTAAGATATACACTTTAATAGTTATTTACGTGTCAAGCTTTGTAAATGAATCTTTACAGGCGAGCTGGAACTTTGTGGGGTGAGCGACGCAGGAGCAAACCCCATAATCCAGTGAGCCTAGTAAAGATGAATTGCAAAGCGTGACAAGTACAAACTTTTATTTTCACCTTTAGATAACGATTTTCAAATTTAAAATTTTAATTAATTTGTCAAAAGTGACATTTCATTTCATAAACTGCTTTTCTACAAGCCTGTAAAACTTTACAGGTCTTATATGCAGGCCTGTAAAATATTACAGGTCTGTTCCCATAATGTATCGTTTACTTGGATACAAAAACAAAAAAATTAACCTATAAAATGTTATTTACTAAGAAGGTGGAAATAAAACAATTTTACTACAATTTTAATTTGACACGTAAATAACTATTACAGGGGTAAGTAGCAAACAACTGGGTCACACTGTATATATATATGTATATAGCAACTTATTTTTATTTTGTTTTATGCACGGTAATTTCGATATTAGAATTAGTCAAAATATTGTGTACTTTACTTTATATAAAAAATGGCATACTTTGAACACCAAACCGACTTAAATAGGTATTTATAATTTTTTAATATCAAATTATTTTTTAATGATAACTGTATATAAATAAATATAAACATATATCATTTTAGTATTTGCGAAAGCGAAAGCAAATTACAATATAAAATAATTTGCAATCAAAGTTGCAAGAAATGGCGAATGCGCCGGGATTACATTTTAAAACACTCAAAAATAAACGAATTTTTTTGACGTCTTATGACATCAGTTCTTTAATATACTATTAAATTATTTTAAATTGGAGCTATACCTTTTTAATCAAGGTGTATACATGTTTTACTTCTGCCAATATCATAGAAAAACCTATGGCCAATATATTCTGTTGCCCTGATATGCGTTAGTAGTACTCACGTGTAAGGTTTTTTACATTTTGCTCAAAAACTAATACTCGTCTTGTTTTGGAATGCACCTCCTCACATAATACACATAACAACGTAGAAAGATTAACTTACTACACAAAGAAAAGTAATTTCTTGATTTTAATATGCAAACTTCTACTTATACGAAATAATTATTTATTTCTGTCAAATAATTATTTGTCAGAAATAAATAATTTATAATTATACATAGGTAATTTATAGATTTTAATATTATAGTTTTACGAAATATATATTTATTGCACGAAATAAATGTTTGCTTTTCTTAATACCCTGATTTATTTGTTTTAATGTTGTCATACTTGATATTTCGGTACCTAGGAATGACAAGGTTCTAAGTGCAGCAGAAAATGACTTATTTACAATATTATAACATAAGGCAGATAAGGGCATTTTTAACAGGGCAACTGCAGTTAGAACCTTGTTATTGTTATCTCGCAAGCTTCGCTCTTGCCTAATAAAACTCGTAACTAAAATGGCGTTTATAAATCTTGATAAATATTATATATACATATATATATATATATAGGGTGTTTTTTGTTTTAATTTTGAAGGGCTATAACTCTTATTTTTGAGTTTTGATAAAAAAGTTACTTAAAATATTTATTTGTCTAACTAATTTCTACACGCTGTTAAAAGGAACGCGTCAACTTAAAACTCACCCTGTATATATATATATATATATATATATATATTAGGGTGGCCCAAAAAAAAAGAATATTTTTTTTCTTCTCGTCTCTTGTGAAAATATGTTGGTTTGTCATGTTTTAAGAGCCCTGTCAAAATATCAGCTCGATTAAAAATTTTGTAGGGGTCGCTCAAGATTTTTAAAAATTTTCAAAATCGTCAAAAATTGAATTTTTGTTTTATTTTAATTCTTTTTCTCGTCTCGATATTATTTTTTAGGTAGAAAATAATAAAAATTCTGTTAATTTCAAATCAATATTTTGATTTCTAAAGGTCGCTAAAATTTCGTTAATATTTATATTCAGAGGTCGCTCGAAAACATTCAAAATACTCTACTTTGAAAGTTAAAAAAATCTTGAGCGAACTTTAGAAATTAAAATATCGATTTGAAATTTTCAGAATCATTATTATTTTTAAATTAAAAAATAATATCGGAACGAGAAAAAAAATTAAAATAAAAAAAAATCCAATTTTTGACGATTTTGGTAATTTTTTAAAATCTTGAGCGACCCATAAAAATTTTTTAATGGTGCTGATCTTTTGACAGGGCTCTTAAAACATGACAAACCAACATATTTTCACAAGAGACGAGAAGAAAAAAAATATTCTTCTTTTTGGGCCACCCTAATATATATATTAATCAATATTATAAAATATCAATAATACAAAATTTTATTTTGTTACCTGTGTGAATCCTTAGATGCATATTGTAAGCGACCCGTTGATTAAACCGCTTGGGGCAGTGCGGACACGCGTACTCTTTCCGATCACGATGAATTTTCATGTGACTGCTTAGATAGCCCCTGTCGTTAAATACTTTACCGCATTCCGGACATTTCGCAGCGAATTCTTTTGTACCTTCATGAATAGATCTAAAAAGAAGAATTAAGATTAAATAGATTACCTATATATTTTTAGCTATTAGGTATGAGGCCCGTTTGTCCGTAAATTATTTTTGCTATAAGAATATTGTTTATATATAAACTTTTTAGTTCAGATAATGCCGCTTGAGAATGAGGGCGCTTTGCGGTTCCATCCACTGTTGCCAGAGTGTGCCAATGCAAAGTTTTGGTCAGTGTTTCCAACATAACATTTCGCCAGATCTGGCAGATTTTAATAAAGGTCGAGGAAAAAAAGATACTCTTACGGCTGAAGGATTTTTTAACGGAAACTTGAACATAATATCGAATGGTATTTGTACCTATATAATTTAATTTGTAAGAGTCCAAGTTAAAAAAAAAAGATTCTTTGTTTTTTATAAATTGACAAGAGAATCAAAACGTAAGAAATTTTAGTTTTTTTAAATACCTAGTAATTAGTAAAAACGAAGCCGTGTTTATTTAGAGAAATAGAGACGGCCAAAGAAGAGAAATGTTTTCTTCAATAAAAATAGACCAACCGACCAATATATTATAATATACCTATAAGTATTTAAAAAAACTAAAATCTTATACTTTTTGCTATCATTTTGTTCTGCTAGATCTGGCCGAAGATCCGTTATGTTGGAAACACTGACCAAAACTTTGCATTGGCAACAGTGCTTTTTAGTTGAATACCACAGAGCGCCCTCATTCTCAAGCGGCATTATCTGAACTAAAAAGTTTCTATATATATAGGAAATTTAAAGTTTATATATAAAAAATATTCTTATATATAGCAAAAAGAATTTACGGACAAACGGCGCCTCATAATTAGGGAAATAAATGAAAAATCCAAATATATAAATTGTTTTGGTTGTGTTATTAAAATATATGAAAATTAAGCTTTTTTTAAACACACATCCATGTTCTTAAAGTTATTTTTATTTTAACTAAAACCAGGAAATTTTATATTATATTATACATATTATGACAATTATCGCATCATTTAATAAAATATACGATGATTTGCTATTTGATCCAGGTCCATATAACTTTATATTAAGTTTACATCCAACTGTAATCTGTTAACTAATTGAATAAGTAGTTTGTAATTATTACAGACATTTTGTAGATTTCGGTAAAGCGTTTGTCTCTGCAATTTTTAATTATTTTAAAATGCTAAACTAATTACAATCCCTGGCTTTATACAAAAAATTATGTTAAAGTTTTACAAAATAAAAGTAACAAACCACAAACTGATGTTAAGACATCTGTGTACCGCATCTTAATATTTTTATCAATAATCAGACGATGTAAAATTTTTTTCAGTTACTTTTGTTTGCAGAATTACTACATTGATAGAGTACTATTGTAAAAATAACAGCTTTCAATAGAAGTCTATTGTTATTTAAAATAATATAAAAGTAAAAATACTAGTTGCAATTATCATAGATTGCAAAAGATCACTTTTTAAAATTTGTGCTATATGGAAAAAAGTAAATCTTCAGAGGGAAAAGTTAAATATTACATATACATAGTTTTTTCAATTGTTTTGTATTGCAAAAACTCAAATAATTGTAGCTATTTACATTAAAAGAGAGACTAGTACTCAGTGGCGGATTTACTGGTACACTTAGTACGCTGTTATAAGGGAATTTGCAGAAATTAAAATATGAAAAAGGTTTGTTTATCTAATTTTTTATTTACTTAATAATTTGAATGTTTATTTTTTATTTTGGTATTATTTATTTTAAATTAAAAATATGTTATTGTAACGTTATATTTTTGTCAAATATATATTTTTTTTTAAATTTTATTTACTTTATTTCTGTTGTAGCACAAATGTAAACTGTCGTATCTTCATTTTGTTATAAGAAATCATCTGGAATAACTGGAAAGTACGCTTTTTACCTAAAAGATAAAATGAATTGTAGGTAATTTTATGTATTTTATTTATTACCTTTTACGTCAAAAGCTTACTTTGAAAGTTATAATCCAAAAAATGTGATTTTGCCGAAAAAAATCTCAGTTGAAACTATTTTTAAACATTATGTTTACTTGTTCAGCACTGCTAATATATACAGGGTGTCCACGACCTTAAAGGTGGATAATTTACAGATCCCCAGGAATTCCAGAAAGTAAAGTAAAAAAATAATTTACCTAAATTACATTATTTTAGGTTGTATTATTTAGATTAGGTCTAATGTAAATAATGTTCAAACAATGGTTTCATATTTCATATTTTATGATATTTACTTTAACAATACTTATGTGTTTGGCAACATGATGTGCAACAACTGATTATCACAACAATTAATTGGTTTTAATTGATTATCTGTTGACCTTACACCATAGACTCTGTCATAGCATTTCTGTTAAATATTGATATGTACTTTTTAGTGAGTAATGCTTAGTGAGTATGTTGTGTGTGGAGAATGCTAAAAGAATGCAAGTTATTTAGCCTGTGTGTGTTAATTGAATGTTAAAATTTGTTTAGTTTTTTTGTAGATTTAATCTATGGTTTCCTGCAGTTCCCTGCATTAGCTTTTTATTATCAAGTCTGGCGTAAAATAAATAACCTCTAAGGGCCGGTTTTTCAATTATAGTTTAAACTTGGTTCAGCATTTGAACTTGGTTCAAACAAAATATGCCGTTTTTCAATCAAAGTTCAAGCTTGAATTTGGTTTAAACTAAATCAAAAGATGAACCGTCACTGTTGGCCGTTTAAACGAAGTTCAACTTGACATAACTTAATTTTTCTCTGCTTTATTGTGTATTACGTTGTTTATTTCCTGTTTTGTGATCTGCTGTTATAAAAAACCAATGGATATGTTTGAGGTAGTTAGTGAGGATAATGAGGAATTCCTAAATAATATTCAACTTCGTGTGCACAGGCCACGGGTAAGACAGAATCATTTTGAAAGGTGGAATGATGAATTTTTTGACAGATTTCGGTTTTCCAAACCTTTTGTACGTAGGATAGTGGATTTAATTAGACCAGTTATTGCAAATCCGACCAATAGGTTAGTTATAAAAATAATTACTGAATAGGTAATAGATTTTAGTAAAATTGATCACATTTTATACTATAAAACGAAATACAAATAATTCCTCCTTAAAAGCGGTAAAGTTGGCAGCACCATTTTTATCCATAATAAATAAATAATAATTATTGTTCTTTAACAATTGTTTGCATTAGAACTTTTTAAAGCAGCACAGATAAACAAAACTCCAAAGGTAAACACAAAATCCTTTTGTCAAAATGACAGTTTTAACTACTATTAATGTAGGCGTATACTAAATTCGGTTATACCAACTTAACGTTGACACCGCTGATCTAAGTTCAACAGAACTGCTGTTGAGTCGACATTGAAAAACTTATTTGACTGTGATATGAGTTCATTAACTGATCTAAGTTCCCCTGAACTAAGGTTTAAACCCTAATTGAAAAACCGGCCCTAAGTAAGTAACGAATTTGACACTTTTTAATATTGTTGTTTATTGTCATGATGTTTAAGAATGAATCTACCAATTTATTAGTACGCAATGTTGCCTTTTAAAAAAACATGTATTCTTTTTTTTAAATAACAAAGGTATATTTTTTCCTGGTGGTTTATAAATCATACACCTTTAAGGTGGTGCGCGACAACAATTCTTAATACTGGTTGTTTAGAAAAAATATAAAACAATTTTTAGACTTGTAGTTTTTGAACACAATTGACAATAAAATGATAAAATTTGTTAAAGTTTTGATTATTTGGTAAAAAGTAAAAAAAAACGCTTCTTAATTTTCTCCACACCCTGTATAAAATAATAATAAATGGTATCGGTAAGCATTTTTTTTTGCAAAAAAATTGTAGGTGTTTTCCATTGTTTCATTGTCTCGCTTAATTGACTAAAGGTCTTTAAATATTTTATTGCAAAAGTTAATGGCAGTTTTAATGTGCAATAAATTATAAAAACTTTACGTATAATTGCGAAAGCGTAAACTAAAAATATGACGTTTGTTTGCTACTTTTTTCGGCGACTGTTGTTTTCAAGTTTTTTTGGCTTACGGCTGTTAACACTGTTAACACTGCACTGGCATTTAGCATGTAGAAATTTCATAAAAAGTACGAAGTGAATTATTACTATTCGGTAATATTTATTACCTTGGTAAAACAAAAAAACAAAACATGACTTATGATGCCAAAAATGGTTTTGAAAAGAACACTGCGCGATAATGTTATACTTTTTTGTGTAATTATTTTTATATGCAACAACGACTAGTCGCGACTGTGGAAAATAAAATAAATCACATATCATTTCCCAGGAAACTTAACAGGAAATGCCTCAAAATTTAACGCAAAACAGAACAAACATATAATAATAGTAGATTATGTCATAAGGAGTAGAAGTGGCTCTTTTTGTGGTGAGTACAGAGATTGACGGCCGAAGCGTAGCTGAGGCAGGCAACTGTACGAAGCACAAAAAGAGCTTCTACTCCAAATAACATATACAATTTTTTTTTTCAAGAGCGTAATATAAATAGGATAAGCAATAGAATTATTTTATTTACTTATAACTCAGGTGGTATAAAATTTTGGCTAAAAGCATTACAAATTATTGATAAAAAGTAAAAAAACGTATAACCCTTACTTACAATGCCGATAAATATCCTAAACTAAAAATAAACCATAGGTTTTTCTATGAAATAAACACTGCTCTGTCAAAATGCTGCGCTTGAATTAATTTTGACGTACTGACATTTGTTTGGAGTTCCGACATTGGCGACTCGTCTATCATCATTATATTATACTAATAAACTAGTTGTTCTTTATTTCGTTCAATTAAAATTTAATAAATAATCACTAAATATTCCGTGCGATTATAATTAATATAATTAATACATCGTGACTGCTTTGTATGAAATGCTAAATTAATTTTATTATTTGACGTCTATTGAGTCACCTATGGATTTACTTCTATCCCTAGGCTTTTTTGAGTTTTTTGTCTGCCGCTAATGAAAAAGA